TGGGAGTGGGGGAAGGCGACCACCCGTCTGTCCTGGCCCTCACAACCGCTGTTGTCACAGGAGCGCGAGGAAGACTTTTGGGCGTTGAAAGGAAGACCCGGCAAGAAAGGAGACAAGGGCGAGCCTGTGAGTGTTGCAGGCGCTCACCAGCAGGGCAGGTCCCCCGCTCCTGCCTTCCCTCCCTAGCAGGGGCCGGGTGCTCGCCCTGGCGGGTGCGGGTGCGTTGAGACCGCAGCAGGAGCAAGAGGAGGGCGAGGCGGGTGGACGGTGGATCCGCACGGGGGGAGGGGGAGGGGGAGGGGCAGGTGGGCGGGCTCGTCCCTGGGGCTGGGGGGAGCCTGTCAGGGTGGCTGTGGCAGCCGCCATCCGGGGCCCTCTGCGGCCCTGCTGGGCCTGTGCCCCGTGGCCGGCTGTGACCGGCCGCCCCAGCGGGCTGCTGAAGCCGCCCCCCTGCTCCTCCTCAGGCCGACCCCGGTCCCCCCGGTGAGCCAGGCCCTCGGGGGCCGAGAGGAGTCCCAGGACCCGAGGTAGGCTGCGGCGTCCCCGCGTCCCCCAGACCCCGGCCCCGGGCCAGGCAGGCCCACCTGGCCGAGCCCCGCGTCCTGCCCGCAGCCCGCGTAGGGGCCAGTGGGCGCGGCCGGGTGACTCGGCCCCACGGGCTTCACTTCTCGCTGTCGCGCTTCCTCCTGCAGGGCGAGCCCGGCCCCCCCGGAGACCCTGGCCTCACGGTAGGTGTCACCTGGGGCGACGAACCCACCGCTTGTTTGGAAGCATCCTTGCCTCTCCCAAACACGGGAAACTGAGGCAGCAAGTGCAGGGGGAGGTCGGCAGGGGCCAGGTCAGCAGTGAGGGTCGCAGGGCAAGACCCCCTCCTCCTGCCACGGCTCCCTCCACACGTGGACCGAGGTGTCTGCGCGGGTCCCTCCCGTGGCACCTCCTCCGGGCCGGCCACCCTGACAGCGCGGCCTGTTGCAGGAATGTGACGTCATGACCTACGTGAGAGAGACCTGCGGCTGCTGCGGTGAGTCGCCGCCCTGGCGGGCGGGGCCCCACCTCCCCGCGGAGGAGGCTGCCGGGCGGGGGTGGGGTCATCACCCAAGTCCCGCCCCCGGCACCTGGCCCTGCACCTGGCGTCCGGGTCCCTCCGGGCTCCGGGCACCTGCGCTGACCCCGCCCCGCCCCGCAGACTGCGAGAAGCGCTGTGGCGCCCTGGACGTGGTCTTCGTCATCGACAGCTCCGAGAGCATCGGCTACACCAACTTCACGCTGGAGAAGAACTTCGTCATCAACGTGGTCAACAGGCTGGGGGCCATCGCCAAGGACCCCAAGTCGGAGACGGGTCAGCGAGGGCAGCGGGGCCCAGGGGCACGTCCCCTCGACGGGGTCTTGGCCTGGGCTGGGTTGCCCAGTCCCCGCGCTGGAGGGTGGCGCGCACCTGGCGCGGCGAAGGTGGACAGGCGGGCAGGCGCAGCGCGGGCGGCGCGCGGACGGGGCGGCGGGAGGGGGCAGGCGGGGGCAGGGTTCCGCGAGGGCAGGCGGGAGGGCTGGGGTGGCTGTGGGTGGGGCGGTGGGTGGGGCGAGCGGGGTGGGCGGGGCGCGGAGCACGGGGTGGTAGACGGGGGGTGGGGCAGACGGGCGGGGGGTTGCAGACGGGGCAGGGGGTGGGCAGTTTTTTTTTTTTTTCTTTCGGGAGACGGGGCAGGGGGTGGCAGACGGGGCAGGGGCTGGGGCAGACGGAGCAGGCAGGGGGCGAGGCAGCAGGGCGGGGGCAGGGCGGTTGACGGGGCGGCAGGTGGCACGGGGTGGGGCGGGGCAGGTGGCGGGCAGGGCGGGGCAGGGCGGGCAGGGCGGGGCAGGGCGGGGCGGGCAGGGCGCGGGCGGGCGGGGCATGGCGGGGCAGGGGCAGGGGGCAGGGGGCAGGGGGGCAGGGCTGGGCGGGGCAGGGGCGGCGGCGCAGGGCAGGCGGGGCAGGAGTGCGGGGCAGGGGCAGGGGCGGGGGCAGAGCCGGGGGCAGGCGGCAGCGGGGCTTGGCGGGCAGGGCAGGGGGGGGCAGCGGGCGGCAGGGGGCGGGGCGGGGCGGGCGGCGACAGCCGCCCTTTGCAGGCACGCGCGGTGGCGGTGGTGCAGTACAGCCACGAGGGCACCTTCGAGGCCATCCAGCTGGACGACGCACGCATCGACTCGCTGTCCAGCTTCAAGGAGGCCGTCAAGAACCTCGAGTGGATCGCGGGCGGCACCTGGACGCCCTCGGCCCTCAAGTTCGCTTACGACCGGCTCATCAAGGAGAGCCGGCGACAGAAGACCCGTGTGTTCGCCGTGGTCATCACGGACGGGCGCCACGACCCGCGCGACGACGACCTCAACCTGCGGGCGCTGTGCGACCGCGACGTCACGGTGACGGCCATCGGCATCGGCGACATGTTCCACGAGCGTCACGAGAACGAGAACCTCAAGTCCATCGCCTGCGACCAGCCACAGCAGGTGCGCAACATGACGCTCTTCTCCGACCTGGTGGCCGAGAAGTTCATCGACGACATGGAGGACGTGCTCTGCCCAGGTGAGGGCGCAGGGCCTGCGCGGGCAGGGGCGGCCGCGGCCCCCCAGAGGCCGTGCACCCCCCTCGGCTGCCCCGGGGACCCCGGTCTGAGGACAGACGCGCTCAGGACGCCAGGCGTCCAGGTGGGGAGGGGGTGGGGCCGTCACAGTGGGCAGAGTCCAACCCTCCCGGAGCCCTGGCCGTGGGCTTGTCTGTGGGCTGGTCCGTGGACAGGGCCGTGGGCAGGTCTGTGGGCTGGTCCGTGGACAGGGCCGTGGGCTTGTCTGTGGGCTGGTCCGTGGACGGGCAGGGCGAGGGCGGGCAGGGGCAGGGCGGGCCGAGGGGACACACCAGCGGCAGGCAGGGGCAGGGGCAGGGGCGGGTGGGGCAGCGCGGGGCAGCCGGGGCGGGGCAGGGGCGGGGCGGGCGGGGGGGGGCAGGGGCCGGCCGGGGCAGGGCGGCGGCGGGGCAGGGCGGGGCCGGGCCAGCCGGGCAGACGGGGCAGGCAGCGGGGCAAGGGGCAGGCGGGGCAGGCCGGCCGGGGCAGGACATTAGGCGGGGCGGGGCAGGGGCAGGGGGCAGACGGGGCACGCGGGCCAGGCGGGGCAGGGCAGGGGGCCAGGGTGGGGCAGGGGGCAGGGCGGGCAAGCAAACGGAGGGGCAGCGGGGGCCTGGGCAGGGGCAGGCGGGGCCTGGGGGGCAGGGGCGGGGGCGGGGCGGGGGGGGGGAGGGC